ACCAATACGAACACAAAGAAAAAAACAAACGAAAAAGCAAACGAAAACAAACCAAATCCAAATGCAAAACCAACCACAAACCCAAAGAAAAAAACACAAACGAAAAAACAAACGAAAACAAACCAAATACAAACGCAAAACCAACCACAAACACAAATACAAACACAAACGCAAAGAAAATAAAACACAAACGAAAACGAAAAAAGAAAGAACAAAAACGAACCAAATCAAAACGCAACCACTAACGCAAACCCAACCTAAACACAAAGAAAACACTAACGCGAACATAAACGCACAGTGCTCAGAGTCTATCCCGGGGCGGAATCGCCTGTTTCAGCTTAATAAACGACTATAGTACCCCAACTTATTCATAGTCTTTTGCACTCACTTTAATGAACGTAGGCGCGAAACCGAACACGGGAGGCCCGGGACCCCAAATAGCACCCTGTCTGGGCGCCAGAGGACGCACCATGACGTCACCGCCTGATTGAACTTAGTAAACGACTATAGTACATAACTTATTCATAGTCTTTTGAACTCACGCGAACGTATATACCATAGCGTACACCGGAAGGCCCGGGGCGCCAAATAGCACCCTGTCGGGGTGCCGGAGGACGCCCGGATTTGATTCAAAGACTATAGTAACCTTTCTTACCCATAGTCTATCGCACTGTTAAAAACAAAATTATGCAGCATAGCGCTCACATGATAGCCCAGGGTGCCAAATCGAACCGTGCAAGGGCGCCGGCGGACGCGCCTGTTTCAATTTAGTGAACAAAAATGATAATACTCCAAGCTTATCCGTAAATGGAAAGAAATAAACATATAGGATTTGTAGGACCTGGCTTATTAAATGTTATTGATTTTAAAAAAAAAATATTGAACAGTATGTTCAGTGTATAGAATAAATGAAAGGCAGTGTTAAAAATACCTAACGACATTGCACTTAATCAATCCCCGCTAATTATGTAATTATTTTTTTTTCTTAACACCAAAAACAAAGTAATAAAATGTAAATTCTTTCTTCTTAAGAATTTTTTTTATTAAAGGGAAGTAACTGTGCAGTCAATACATTTCCGACACAATTTTAGAAATTTTATAAACGTCGATACACTTTTTAAAAATTTTATGTCGCGTCCATAATTGAAAATTATTCTTCTAAGTAAATAGAATGAAAATTGTTTTTAAAGACTTTCAATGGTAATTTTTTGACTCGTAAATTTAGACTATGAGCACGATAAAAAATCTAACACTTAAATCCATAGAACTGTCAACGACAAACTTTTTTGCCACACGTTACAGATCTGAGCTTTATATATTAGATAGAGAAAGTTTTGTAATCGTGCAAAAAAAATCGACATTTTTACAAATCTCGACGTTTTACACCTCACTGATACGGAAAAAACATAATTTTGCAATCTTGTCCGTATGTCTGTGTGTGTGTGTGTCTGTCTGTGTGTAAACACGATAACTTGATTACTGTTACAGCTAGGTTGATGAAATTTCATATATAAGTATTTTATAAAAATTGTAGATCCTGATAAATTTTTGAGCGATTTCCGATAACCGGAAGTGGTACTTTTTTTTACTTTGAAATTTTCAAAAGTCTATAACTTGAGTACTATTTTATATATAAAAATGAAATTTCACATGTAAGTAAACAATCTAATTCTCTACCTTCTGTCAAATTTTGAGTAATTTCCGCTGATCGGAAGTACTAATTTACGCTATTTCCGATTTCTCAAAAAATGCATGTGAATTTATAAAGTACTAATGATATTCCGAACTATTATACACATCTTTATTCGGCGTTCGCTTGGTGCGCAATTCTTTTTTTTTATGAGATTCTATTCTATTTTTAAAAAGTTTAAGTATTTAAAATGGAGTAAAAATCATAACTATATCCCGAGTTTCCATCCCTTGTTGTTTTATATAAGAATATTCGAGAAAGTTTAGGGGAGATCACTCCCGGTTTATTTATATCCATCATCTTAATGTGTTTGGCATCATTGGAAAGCTGATTCATCATATATTTGATGAGCGTATTTTCAATAATCTCAGAAACACTCAAAACTTACAATCGGCTTTACAAATTACACTGATATGTTATTTTAGTGAACTACTTTTCGTTACTTTTTGCTATTTTTCTCAGTTCGAATTTTTTTTAACACTAAAAAAGTGTTGTTTTTTTCAGTTAACTTAAATGTTTTCTATTTGTAAATGTTGCTGCTTAATACATGAATAAAAATAAAAGCTAATTAGTCTTAATGTCATAAATGATATTCTCAATGGTGAATTTAGTTCCAAGTTAATTTTATTGTGAACCTGTGGTAAAAAAATCCTGTTTATTTCTCTATTGGAAATCTGAAAGTTACCAGAGGGGTTGTGCTTCTCGTCAGATATAATATAGAGACCATATTGCCATGCTAGCAATATGTTTGCAGACATGACAAGACATTTTCTTCGGTTGCAGATGTGTTTCCTGGATCACTATGGCACTATATTGTTAAATTAAGAGCAGAGAGAGCAAAATAGCGTGTAGCGACCCGTTCCGATGCCCGGGTCGAACTATTGAATTTGCCCCCCCCCTTCCCCGTATTCATAGTCACTCTTGATGGCTTAAAAAATGCCCCCCCCCCCCTTGGTATTTATAGTCATTCTTGATGGCCAAAAAAATGCCCCCCCCCCCCCTGGGAAATGTTGGGGACGCTTTGATTATCATGTCACAAAGTTAAATAAGCCAGGAAAGCAAAGTAGTTTTCTATGTTCTTTAACTTTGAGCCGAATAATGCTACTCAGAATGAGGCTTTTTTCTACCCTTCTTGGCGCCCTCACCCCCCCCCCCCCCCTCCCTCCTCCCCAGGGTCGACTCCCTCCCCTAGCTACACCTCTGGAAAGCAGCCCCATCCATATCACAACTACACGCAGGAAAGCGACTATGTAGAGCAGGAAAGAGTTACCGGGAATGAAGATAACATCTGGAGACATCACAGTTTCGTGATTGTAAACATAGACGCACCAAAAATTTAGGGGTGATCCACTTTATCTATTTTTGGTACGATTTTTGCCTCCCCTCCTCTTCGTCACACATCGTCACAAAAAGCCAGAATCCCACCCACGCACAAAATATGACGCCGCACCTCAGCCTAGAAAACTTTCAAATTTGCGGTGTTTTTTTTTATTTACCAACTAAAAAACAATTTCTTTCTAAATATGATTACTGAACTCAGTTATCATTAAATAATTTAACGAGTTTCTATTATAATTTATAAAATACCCCCTGTAAAAACGCAAAATAAAGGCTATTAATTCAGATTCCAACATAACTTAAAAAAAAAAACTAACTGCTTTGCTATGAGTATCTGAGACATTCTGAGATAACGCAATGTTAAGTAGAATACTAGCGAAGGTCAGCTATATATTTGGCCAAGCAGAACCAATAGCATTGAACTTGCAGTGGCACGAACTGACCGGTCGCGTGTGGATCACCGAAGCCGACCGATATATCAACTTTGAACATCACCATGCTCGAAGCCGCTACCGCCACTGAGGTTGTTTTGTGGAAATTTTGTTTTATTACCGACATTCTACGATTTATTTTTTAATCGAATAAAGCAAATATCAATTTTGTTAATTTTCAAAAATATAGTTAAAATTACTTAATAAAACATACAATTACAATTTTTAAAGTGTTATTTGGCCTATACTTCTACGATTTCTACCAGTACAACAAAATACAAAGTGTTAGAGATCGGAAGTTGTGTTGGCCTTAATAAATAAACAATGTGCCTGGATATTCATTCCACTGACTACATTATAATTTATATGAACACTATGACCCTTGCAAGTTTGTTAATAATGCTATTGCTTAAGCTATGACCTATATTAAAGTTTATATATGCACCAAAAGTGACCACTCTTTCTGAACTCACAGTGACCTGTCGACCGAGATGGAATTTTTCTCAGGCTGTAAAGAAAACGTAAGCGGGCGATCATATGAGAAGTACAGATTTTAAAATATTTAAGCAAATTCTGATCTAGATCGAGAATAAAAGAAATAACATACACCACTCGTGATATATTTGTTTAGTTTACGACTTCTCTCCTCGCTTTCTGGAGAGAAAACAAAACCAAAAGCCTCAGTCTCACCAATTGAATCTTGCTATTTACCCGTGATTTCGCAGGTATGTCTCGCGTTTTCTTCTCGCAATTTACCGCCTCGCCATTTCCCCAATATGCACTATTAAATTTAATCAGTGGTTTGATTTTAATTAGGTAAAACTTTGTAATTATGAAATCTTATAAATCAATTTTGTTTATCAGTATTACCAAAAAAAAAACACCTATCTGAAGTGTATGTCTGCCTAGGAAAATTGGTGCGCATGATTGATGGTGAAAGTGAAAGTGTGACGCGGTACGCAAGAAAGTGACGTTTTAGTGTGAGTTCGTTGTTGCCGGGGAAGGAGTTGGAGTCTGATCTTGATCGTCGGCGTGAAAGGACGTTTGCTGACTTGTATGACTCAAGATTCGTGAGATGTGAATGGATATGAAGATTATGAAGAAGTCTAATACAAGAATAAGTAAAGTGGAGGAAGGAATGATTGAGTTCGTTTTATCTATAATTTGTCATCTAGTCCTCTGGATGTGAAATGATTGCTTTATTTCATAGCATCGAATCAAGTGACGCAAAGCTCTCGCATAGCACGACACCTGAGCAGTCGTAACCTACCTAACAAAAAAAAAATTAACATTTTCAAACTAAAATAACATTCAAACTTTGATTATTCTTGACCTTACTATTTGAAATAAAACTGCACAGATTTGACTAGAGTTAAGTAGGCCCTACCAGTATAGTTTATGTAAGAACAATTTGAAAAACTAACAAAGTTTGATATCTAAAAGTTTAATCATAAAAGAAAATGTTTTAGCAGTTATTTTACATAAGGAAATGTGAACCACAGTACAAGGCATGTCAGATGACAATAAAATTGATGCTTATCTTAGACACTGAGATGTGTAAAGTCATATTTCAAGTGAGGGTTCTTTTATGTCTGGATAAATTTGAGCTGCATGTAAAACATTTACCACATTTGTCACACTTGTAAGGCTTTTCTCCTGTATGAAATCTATTGTGTACCTTTAATGACTGAAGCTCTGCAAAACATTTACCACATTTGTCACACTTGTAAGGCTTTTCTCCTGTATGAATTCTCTGGTGTCCTTTTAAGTTTTGAAGCTCTGTAAAACATTTATTACATTTGTCACACTTGTAAGGCTTTTCTCCTGTATGAATTCTCTGGTGTCCTTTTAAGTGTCCAAGCACTGTAAAACATTTACCACATTTGTCACACTTGTAAGGCTTTTCTCCTGTATGAATTCTCTGGTGTATCTGTAAACTACCAGACCCTGTAAAACATTTACCACATTTGTCACACTTGTAAGGCTTTTCTCCTGTATGAATTCTAGCGTGTATCTGTAAACTATTAGGCTGTGTAAAACATCGACCACATTTATCACACTTGTAAGGCTTTTCTCCTGTATGAATTCTATGGTGGCTCTGTAAATTACCAAGCTCTGTAAAACATTTACCACATTTGTCACACTTGTAAGGCTTTTCTCCTGTATGAATTCTATGGTGGCTCTGTAAATTACCAAGCCGTGTAAAACATTTACCACATTGGTCACACTTGTAAGGCTTTTCTCCTGTATGAATTCTACGGTGTTTCTGCAAATTACCAAGCCCTGCAAAACATTGACAACATATGTCACACTTGTAAGGCTTTTCTCCTGTATGAATTCTTTGGTGTCTCTTTAAACAATCAAGCCATGTAAAACATCTACCACATTTGTCACACTTATAAGGCTTTTCTCCTGTATGAATTCTATGGTGTTTCTGTAATTTACCAGACTCTGTAAAACATTTACCACAATTGTCACACTTGTAAGGCTTTTCTCCTGTATGAATTCTATGGTGGCTCTTTAAATTACCAAGCTGTGTAAAACATTTACCACATTTATCACACTTGTAAGGCTTTTCTCCTGTATGAATTCTATGGTGTTTACGTAAATCTTTAAGCTGTGTAAAACATTTACCACATTTGTCACACATGTAAGGCTTTTCTCCTGTATGAATTCTATGGTGTTTCCGTAAATCACTAAGCTGTGTAAAACATTGACCACATTTATCACACTTGTAAGGCTTTTCTCCAATGTGAGTTATCTGGTTTTGATGTAAGTTTGATGACTGGGAAGAAGAATGTACAGTAGTGTCATCAATATGATCCAAACCCCTATTGACAATGCCTTTACCTCCATGTCGGTATTTCAGATGTGTATTCAAATAGGAAAGTTTTGAAAAGGCCACTCTGCTATGCTGACATGGATATATATCTGCAACAAATGTTTTTATAAAAATAACTGACAACTTTATCTAATACTGGAAAGACAGCTATACTTATATAAGGATTGCTAACAAAAAATACAGTTAACCTGACAATAAGTGTTAATATTTCATAAACTTTTACATTGTGAAGTGCTTTATTTAGTGATAATGTGAATAAAGATGAAGACAAAAGGGATATAAAACAATGAAAATAATAATAAAGCTGGAGCGTGAAGACTAAATGATCCAGTGGACAAACTGATGACTGACTGATACAGTGGACACAGTGATGAATGATACAGTGGACACAGTGATGACTGACTGATACAGTGGACACAGTGATGACTGATACAGTGGACACAGTGATGACTGACTGATACAGTGGACACAGTGATGACTGATACAGTGGACAAACTGATGACTGACTGATACAGTGGACACATTGATGACTGACTGATACATTGGACACAGTGATGACTGACTGATACAGTGGACATAGTGATGGCTTCTGATAAAACAGAATGACAAGTCTATTGTATCAACGATAAAGACAAAAATTAGATAACAGTGATGAGATGATCAGTGTAAAGTACTGAGTAAGCTTATTACCAGAGTCATTGTTCTCCATGTTTGTTAAACTGTTCTTGCTTACAACACTGACCCTCTGTACCTGAATGCCCAGATCTCTGGCATAACTGTCACCATAGTACACCTGAAAATGTCAGAATACTGTTCAGTAGCCTACTACAGTACTAGTTAACTTAAACACAATTGGGTGTGGCTAGGAAAAGTATCGCTAGCACAATAGCCTAGGAAAAAGTTTCCAACTTAAAAGTCATGGTAATACACCATACACTAGACTCCTACTAGATTCTTACTTAAATCTATTAAAGTGCTTATTACCTCTAGATAACTTATGACACAAGTAGCTTTTTAAACAATAGATTAATGAGTAAAACATAAGACAGGATTACTTTATTTAAAAAATATTTATGTTTAGCTTTTTCTCAACTACTTTTTCCATGTCTCACATTTTTTAAAATATTACAAATTCAGTTATAAATTAGCAATGATTAGACAATATTAGTTGATAATGAATTTTTGTTATTAACACATTTCTTCTAAAAACATTTTTTATCAATCACCAGTAGTGCTAATAATCCAAGCTCCAAAAAAGTGAGCTAGACCTGACATGATTGGGTTATTCTGACAAGAAATAACTTACTGTCAAGATCAATAAAATATCTTTTTTTTTGCAGTTAGTAAGTAAAACGGTACACTATGTATTGCAACATGGAAACAAAGAAATAATTCTATGGCTATACCAGCCCCCAAAATGTCAGTAAGTTTTGATGGAGATTTTAAGCTAGTAAGGGATGGCATGGTTGAATGGTTGAACTTATGACTGTTAACCTGAATGTCTCGAGCCAAGATCATGGGTTCAAGTCTGTAGAATGTCTCTGAATCCACCCAGCTCTAATGGGTACCTGACTCCCATCAGGGAAACTAATGCGGCTGGTCAAGGTTATTGAAACAGATGAACTCTACTTTATCTGCCCCATGTCTTTTGGTCGTAAACAGGAAAAGATTACGAAATGTTCTGTTAGTTACCAGTATTTCTGTGCCAGCACTGATGTCCCTGTGAGCTCTGTAGTAGATTTCACCTTTGTGCTGGTATGCTGTGACACACTGCTCATCCTCACAGCGAGCACAGTTTACAAATCTCATCCAGTTAGAGTCAGAGCTGTCACTGGCATCAACAAAATGGGATGGTCTCCCATCCTTGAAAATCTGAGGAAGCATATAAATTAAAGAAATAATGCTTTGTGCTTGGAAAACAAGGTGATCAAAAAAAAAAACATTGATACATGTACTTTACAAATTCTGGAAAGTGTTTAAACTAACAAAGTTCCTTATAGGAACATCTACAAATAAAATGGGCAACAAATGGATAAAAACTTGTACCAGCATCAAACAGTTTCTTTCACTACATTGCTCACCTGCCAACAATACCCAGAGTCATGTGCCATATGCTCATTTTTCTCTTTCTTCCCACCATATGGCCCAAACCTTGTCTGCGCAGGAAAGGATGTTAAGGCAAAAACACCAAGTCCAGCATCAGGTATGTTTGATGTTTTAATGACTAGACCGGGGGGCAGAGTTTTCTTACAATAATCTTTGTCCTTGCCCCTGATGCAGTCTGGGGGAACCTATTTCACCATAGAAAACTGTATATCATTTTTCTTAGTATTGTTCCTCCTTTACAAGAGTTATTATTAATCATATTTGTTATGCAACAATACCCTGTCTGGTAAACCTGCTAGACCTTAATCAGTGAAGTTTGCAAGGCAATTAATCATCACAAATAGTGCAGAGAAAATATAAACTTAAAGCAGCACTGTTTTATTTACCTGTGAATCCGATAAAATATTTAGAGGGCCATGTTCAGTACAATCCCCTATGTATTCAATGTTGCACTCTTCACAAACTGAAACACAAATGTAAAACATCTAAACTACAAAGTGGGATATCATAGCTTAATCAATTACCTAACCATTTGTTAGTTCTACTAACTACATGATACACAGATTAATGCCTAGCAGCAATACAACAACCGAATATAAGGACAACAGATTTAAAAGCATTTGTAGTTTAGTTCAGCAAACCTTAATGTAGAGTCTATTTTTAATTGTAAACAACTTTAACAAAAACAGATGCACAATCATAATGGCTATAAGTAAAAAAAAATGTTCTGGGTAAACTCAGGAGCATCTTTAGAGTCTAAGTTGTTATGCCAGTGGTTAGGTGCTCTACTAATCTGTCCCCTAAGTACAAATAATATTTTTAAAAATAGTTTTTTCATTCTTAAAACAGCAAACACAGTGAAAAGGTGGGATACAAGCATTGTGATTACACTATAGTAGTTTATAAACAGGGAAGAGCATGATCGGAAGGTTGAACTTATGACTGCTAACCCAGAAGTCATGGGTTTGGATCCCAGACTCAAGTCTGTAGGAGGTTTATAAGGCCATATAATTCTAAAGGGCAGCTAACTCACATAAAGGGTGAGCAAAGCAGGAAGAGATGATAATGATTTGATAAACGAGTAACAGGGATAATTATCATGTACAAAACAACTAGAATTGATACTCATGTACACACAAAACAAGACAAAAAATATATTCATCTACAAAAGAACTAACAGAGATACTTATCCTATACAAAAAAGCTAAAACAGGAACTAATTGAGAAACATTAAGTACAAAAGAACTAACATTGATACTCTTCATATACAAAATAGCAAAAACACAAACTAACAAAGAAACTTATCATGTACAAAATAACTAACAGAGATACTCATCGTCTTCAGGAATGTGCAGAGACATGTAGCTGGTCACTCTTTTCCTACATAGAGGGTATGTGTGTCTTGCTTCTTTCTCTATCGCAGTTTTTGATGGAAACCAAGGCTGCCTATTTTTAACTTGTACTGCCTAAAAAGTTTAAAATTGTAAAGATTAACATTACATGTTAATTTTAATGCTGTGTACGGTTTATGTAACAGTGTTATAATGTAGGTGAACAGGAAGATAGCTGTTGATTTTAAACCCCTATCCCCTTCTTATTTACTCTGGTTGGATTTTATAGGGCAATGATAAAGAATACTTTTTGCTTAGGAAGTTTTAATAAATTGATGCAAATGAAAATCTCAACCTTGGGTTTGGTTTTCTCTTTACTCATCTCAGGATGAAACAGAGCAACATTTGTAGTCTTTTTTCTCTCTCCACCTATTTACATACATAGTTGTTAATGCAATGAAACATTTTACCCATCAATTAATTCTGTCTTCTTTCTTTCTCCACTTATATACACATAGTTGTTGAGCCTATTAAATATTTGACACATCAAACAATTCATTCTTGTTCTCTTTCTCTCTCCACATATAAGCACAATCAGATGTTAATTCAATAAACATTTGAGACAACAAACAATTGATTCTATTTTTTAAAAAGTTTTACTTCGTGGTGTAGCCTCCAATGCTGGGGTCCTGTCAGAATCAAAATCATCAGAATCTGAGGATAAGTCTAGCACCACTTTTTTCTTCTTTTTCTTAAGCATAAATTCAGGAGGCTCTACTGAAAGGCCTGAAAAATAAATGTATAAAAATTATGTAAAGAAAAACTATTTCTAATTAAACATGGCTGAACGGTGACCTTTAACTTTGGTGAAATGAATGGGACAAAAAATGAGAACATGTCTAATATTTAACTCTACTTAAGAACTACATTAAACTTGCATAGGGAATGCTATAAAATCAAGAAAAAGGTAACAAATAGATAAGAAAATGCTCTTAAAAAACCTATATATAAATTAAAGCCTTATGTAACAACATTGCCTTAAAAGTCTGTAGATAGGCCAAGAACAGAAGACAAAAAAAATACATACTAAAACTAAATGGCAAATAAAAATCTCACCTGCACTTCTTAGCACTTTGTAATTTTGTCTCAAGATGCTGAGATGCTTCTTTTCATATTCAGGTATAGCAGCAAATTCTTCAGGTGTAAAAAAATCTTTTATTGATGTGGGCAAATGTTCTACTTTTGGCTTCATATTTTCCATAGCTGAAAATACAACAGTATTTCTTTCATCAGTTATAAAAATATTTCATTAAATTTAAGAAACCTTTTCTAACATTTTATTGCTAATCTTTAAAGAGTATTTTTTTTTTTTAAAAAAACCTGATTTTTTGGTTTACAACTATAAAATTTAAAATATTTTAAAAAATTAATTCCTTATGACAACCTAAGAAACACTAAATAGTTTTTATGTTCCTGCATTTGAGGGTTCTTCTAGTAGCACTATTGAGCAATAGATCTCAAGCACCTGTGTGGAACTATCTTAAGCCACTCTTCCCTTACTAGCCCCTGTTTCTTTAGGCCTACTAAACAACAAATGACAATGTGCAGGAGTAGAAATCTCTCTTGATTTTGCACATTTGCTTTTGCTCACTCAATGAATTAAGTAACATTCAGGGGCGGAACTATCATACCGCCAGACCCCGCAATGCGGGGGGGCCCAGGACGTTTAGGGGCCCAGTTCCGACCAAAAAACAATGTTTTTTTTTTTTCAAAAATTTGAAAGGTAGGTAAACATTCACACTACTTCCATGACTTACTGCCCTTCTTTAAAATAGGAATGCCCACGAAGCTCATTTAAATAGTTTTGTACTATGTATATTAAAAAGCAATTGATTCTCTGAATTGTTACTTAAATAAGACGTACTATACAATAGTATAGCTATAAAAATCAATGTTTTCAAAATTAACATTATAAAAGCCAAAAATGAAAAAATTAAACATAACGCGAGAAACCATTCACGAATCAAGCTAACGTCTTTATATATTTTTGACCAGCACAATACTTTTAACCCATAATGAGTTTGGACTTAAATTTGTTCTGTTTTGTTCTCTCAGAATGGTTATATATTGCAATGAAGTAGACTAAATTACTCAGCTAGGATATAGATTATATATATATATATATATATATATATATATATATATATATATATATATATATATATATATATATATATATATATATATATATATATATAGGGGGCCCTAGTTTTTTCTTTGCGGAGGAGCCTTTGATTTCTAGTTCCGCCACTGGTAACATTCCTCCATTTCTAACTGATATCATTGTATTAAATAGTAAAAATAGATCTAATTACCGTTCTGTTTAGCAGTGACCTTCACAAATCTCAGAGCCAGACTTAGAATTTTCTATTATGAGTCAATCTTACCTCCTGAACTAACTTGGTCCTTAAATTAATTTGGTGACTACTGTTTAACTACAAAGTAGCTAGATCTAGATCTAGATATAAAATTTACAAACTAAATTATTTGACTAATGATCGTAGCTTGCTTTAGAGAATTAAAATACAAAATCTAGAGCTCTATGATTGTCTTTATTAAAGACATTGTCTTCATTTGTAGAAAATATTATCTAGATCTATAATACAAATAGGTCTATAGATTCTAGATTAGTACTCTATACAATCTAGATCTAAATCTAGAGGAAACTAGATCTAATTTATAATAATTTATATGAAGTTTTACAACATTTTATTGAAAGTTAGTTTAGATCTAGGATCTAGTTGTAATAAATATAGAGAATAGACTCTAGATCTAGATATTTCTAGACTAGATCTAAATTAGAAAAGTTGATATGAACAGGGTTTTATTGAACCCCAGGGTATCGACGAGTGAGTCTCAGGGGTTTGGCAGAGGTCAAGATTAGATACACACCCGACTCATATGATTCACGATCGGATTTTGTCAATCAATAGTTATTCAATTTTGTTATTCAATACAAAAAGAATCTAGATCTAGGGTAATCTATCGTTTTGGGTACGTAAAATAGCCAGCGGCTTCGAATGTACGAAAGTTACTTCATTGTCAAGGCTTTAAATTTTAATAGATGTATATTTTGATACATTTGTGTCAAATATTATAGATAAATGATAAATATTCAGAGCCGGCGTTAGGAAAACGCGGGGCCTAGGGCCAACCATCCACGCGGGGCCTTTCCATTATATATATATATATATATATATATATATATAAATATATATATATATATATATATATATATATATATATATATGTATGCAGAGGCGTAGCGACCCTTCCCGGCGCCCGGGGACATACTTTCAATTTGGCGCCCCCTTGGGAGCAAATTTTCGATTTGCACCCCCCCTCGAACTTTTCATTTGCACCCCCTCCCTCGAACTTTTCATTTGCACCCCCCCCCTCAAACTTTCGATTTGCACCCCCCCTCGAACTTTTCATTTGCACCCCCCCCCCTCAAACTTTCAATTTGGCGCCCCCCCCCTAAGGTCGGCGCCCGGGGACATATGTCCCCCCCCCCCGCCCCCCCCCCCCCCCTCGCTACGCTACTGTATGTATGTATGTATAAAGGCCTATATAATGTGATGTACACATAATAACACAAATGTTTTGGAGTTTATAAGCTAATGCCAAACTTTCCACTATAATAACAGAATTTTATCTCTCCCATGTATTAACCCAACGTTCTTAGTTTTTTTTCCTTGCTAAGATATTAAATCAGTTTTGACAGTTATGTAATTCATACCAAATCACTTAAGAAAATTTAATAATTAGGAAAATAAAGTTTACAATACAACGAACTCGGCCTGATGTATCAAAACAGTATAGACTTCAAAATTTGTTAGGAATTCATACAATATTTTAAAACCAAAATCATTATTGTCTAAACTATTGTAAAGGATTTCCCTATAATTAAAAAAATGGCTTAAGCACTCTACAAATGTCGTGTTTTAAAGTTCACCAAAGTATCAGATATAAATTGAAAGACCGCGTTTATTGGGGGAATATCAATGACTACTAAATCACTACCCTTCATTGCCTTCAAAGATTCCCCATCCTCCATAAAAGTTGTGCGACGAGGACCATTCGCTGACTATATCATGTCAGCACCATCGGAAGACGATTGAATAAAACAATTTGGATGAATTCGCTAAATTAATCATTCTGTCTTGGAAAGGGTGAATCCTTAAGGTGACACAACATAACAACAGTTTTAACTTTCTTCCAAAAAATAATAATAAATCACCCTGTTTAATGCCCCCCTCTTGATATAGAATCCTAAACCCCCCCTCACCCCCCCCCCCCCCCCTCGTCGCCCTCCTCCCACCCCTCTGCACGCAACTGAATGTTAATTTTGTTATACCAAGACAAGTAGGCCAACATATAGAGTTTCTTCCAGGCATCTCTTCAGGGGGGGTGGACCCCCCTGAAAAAATTCTACCGCTCCCCCCCCCCAAAAAAAAATTTCAAGTGCCCCCTCCCCCAGGAGAAAAAAGTCTGGAAAAAACACTGTACATATACGACATTATACGACATCTACAACAAGAAAGTCAGGACTAGAGTTCATCAGGTCACTAACTGTCTACTACAGACATCCCGTCTGCTCACTAAAAGGACGTCTTCATCGGTCCGCATACAATAGGGTATCTCTTTACGTCGTGGGCTAATTCTCGACCGCCATCTCCAGTCAGCTCAGGTCAAATACCAGGCGACCGTACCCTACACAAAAGGGAGGTGTGACACTGTTTTTGTATCGAATTACGGACTTTCCCAGTTCAGGTGGGACTCACCAACGTCAAACGTGGCCTCAGTTATAACAATCAACAACGTCGGCATTCGACCATTTAGTTTTTCCCAATTGAATTCAGAAACAATTTTTTTAAGTTTACAAACTGATTCAGATAACAATGACATTGCTAAAGCGCGGGGCCCCTTCAAGCGCGGGGCCTATGGCCACCGCCCCGTTCGCCACCCCCTAACGCCGGCTCTGTAAATATTAATAAACCTACATCAATAGCTAAATATATCAATATAGGCAAGAAATTAACTTTAAACAGCAGTTTTTACGAGCAGGATTTCCTAGTATATAAACAGCAGCCAATTGTAAAATAGTTGCCTTGCCCTGAATCTTGCACTAGATCTAGATCTAAAAGTTAACAAAGAAAAAATTTAAACAAGATGGCTGCTATAGTTATAAGTTATAGTAAATGAGCATGGTTGCATCTGTTGGAAACATCTCTAGTCTTCATTTATTATTGAAAAGTCTTAATTCAATTGTTTGAAAACAGGTACATAAATGAAACAAGGAAACATTTTTGTATTTTTCAAAACATAAATCCTCCTCAAAATGTGAAATAATTATTAAAATTTAGAGTCACCTGTCTTCTTTCACATGACTAGATCTAGATTCTCTAGATCTAGATTCTAGTCGCAGGCGATTTCACGTACCCAAAACGATAGAATAGAAATATACTTTATAGATTATCAGATCTAGATCTAAATCTATACTAGATAGATATCTAGAATAGTTCTAGATCTAGCCTAGATCAGTAGATCTAGATCTAGATTTCTTGATCTAGACTAGATCTAGATTCTAGATCTAGAATAATCTAGATCTAATACTAGAGTAACTAGAGGTCTAGATCTAGTCTAGATCTACTAGATCTAGCTAGATCTAGCTAGAAGAAATCTAGATCTAGAATAACTAGATCTAGCAATAGATCTACACTTCTAGATTATATACAAACTTCAACTGTAGGCTGTTTTTGAGTCTGGATAATTCAGATCTTTATCTAATGTAATGTTGAATTAGGTCTATCTTGTTGGAGCGCCAGAACTTGTCGTCTGCTAGCCTAGTAGCTGCGTATTGACTCAGTATCGTAGGCCTAATGGCTGATAGCGTAAAGATAAATAACCGATTCCGTAAATTTATAGATATTTTAAAGCCCAGTAACATTTTATAAGAATGCAAACAAATCTTTTTTTTCAGCAAACATTTGAAAGCATCAAGAAGGTATAGATCTAGATCTAGAGAATTTTAACATTTGTCAAAATGAAAATTGAATTAAATTGGGATTTCATAGTCGGTTTCTTCACAATCCACGAACTACTAGACTCGATTTCTCGCTAAGGGGAAGTAACCCTATAAAAAATATTATTTCATTATTTACATATAGATCTATTAATGATGATATCGTGCAGTCTCATTTTGGCCTAGCCTTTAAAAGAGACTTATCAAGCAGTTTAATGTTGCTATCCTAATATATAAAAGCCCCTGTGCCAGCCGATCAAACACTATTTTCTCTGTAAGACTCAAAGAAATTATCAATGACATAATCAATGATAACTAATGGAGACAAGCGAGTTGACGAGATTCCTTCGGGCGTGGGGAAATTGCGAGACGCGAAAAGCGAAATGGCGAGGCGGGAAAATGCGAGAAGGTAATGCGAGACATACCTGCGGAATTAAGGGTAAATAGCGAGACACTTTTTGCGAAAAAAGTTTTTTCCTTTTTTTTTCCATCTTTATTTATTTAAATTATTATTTTTTTTTAAAAAATAAACAAGCATTTAGCCATACCCTTTAACACGAGTGTTGTATGTTGTTTTTTTTTATCTAGATACTAAGAAGATAGATAGATCTATATCTAGATCTATCTATTTAAAAATTCTAACATCGTTGCTGTGCTACTGTCATCGCCCGCTCTTGTTAGCGAGAGGAAAATCCCGTCTCAGTCGGCATTAATTTAAAAATCTAGCCCGCTCATGTTTATACAAACGTGAGCTGTGTCATTGTGAATTGGTATAATCTTGTCAGCAGGAGAGATATTTTGCAACATCTATTTATGGATTTTTGTACTTGCAAAAAGTTTAAAAGTATAAACAATTCTAAAAAGTGCAATTTATTATTTTATTAAGTAATTTTAATTACAAACAAAATTTACAAACAAAATCTTCTGAAACAGTCCTCAAACACACCTCGTGACACCATCTTTCACACATAGTACACCCAACCCAGTTCATTAGACTCCCATTTATACATTTTTCTTTTGCTACTTCTTCCAATCCACATTCACAACATTTCACATTCTCATCACAGTTGACCTCCTCGTTCATCCCACAAACAACACTGGCACCCATGTTCTCATCATCATCATCCGCAAGCTCAACATCTGTTTTCCGTTTTATTATAATTTGTATTTTTTATCATTTCTGTAATTTTGGCAATGTCTTGCTCATTGTTGTCACCAGCAGTTGAGTTTTTTTAAAACATCGATATTTTCCCAAAATCTTGTCTAATTTCGGTCAAAATAGAGTATTTTAATCAATCCCTATTACAATGTATTAAAACAGTTTTCTAAAACGCGAAAAAACGTCTAAAATTCTTTTTCTAACATTGCTTTTTTATAGTGTGACTTCACATCTAACCCCCCCTCCTCCCCCTCATCACACATCGTCATAAAATTACAGACCACCCTCCCCCCCCCTTTACGAGTGTGACGTCATTTATGGAAGACCCCAAATAACACCACCACCAAAACCAAAAAAGTTCAACTTGGTTTTAAAAATATTTGAAGTAGGCCCATAGCTTACGATATAGCACGAGCAACTGATAATATCGGTGACGTCACTTTATTTTGTTGTATCCAAATGATGTGGCATTTCCTTGTGCTTAGATTTATATGGTAAAAAAAGCTAGAAAAAAATCGTAGGCGGCGGCTATAATACAAAATTTCTATGCAACAATAGAAAATATGTTTGCGGCGGCAGCGGATCCGGGCACTGCGATCTTCAAAGAAGGTACATCAGGCGGCCTCGGGGTTCCACACAAAAGACAGAAGTTGATCTATCGTCGGCGGTATTTCCGTCGGTTTCGAAAAAGGTGGTATTCTAAGTCGACACAAAAGGTGGGGGGAGTTGACAAATCATCAGTATGTCTAGCGACGGAAAAATCGGAAGTTTTAACAATGTAAACGAAACGTCTTTGAAGTCTGGACCAAATACCACTGAAAATCGGGTGCGGTAAATTTTTCGCAGAAATCTTCGCATTTCAACACCACCCAGCGTAAGTATCGGCTTGTGGTAAAATGCGAGACAAAAAAGTCACGTGACTGACCGTTTTCGCGCCCTTCTCGCATTTTCCCGCCTCGCCATTTCGCTTTTCGCGTCTCGCAATTTCCCCACACCCGATTCCTTCCATAGTGTCGTTGACATGGAATAAAAACGTGCTTTTTAGATTTAGACCGTAAAAAAAAAAAATAAAACATAAAAACTTAAGCCTAAAATTAATTTAGAAATTTTATATTTTTAGAATAAATGCTATAAAAGTTGCAAATCCAGAGAACTTGAAAATAATTTGTTGAGTTTAAGGCTACATTTCTATTTATTTTCATCAAGCCTAAGTTAAAACCGGATGTTTCACTTTCGTAGGACAAATATTGATTCGCTGTACAGTAACTTAGTGATCGATAACTATTTGTTTACAAAACTTTGCAGATCTAGTTTTTAAATAACAATGCAAATTTAAAACGCCATAACCTAGTTTTCTATTTTTAGCTTACAATGTGTACAATAAAATTTGTGTCGGCCTATCCAATAGCAGGATGCCATTGTTTATGTCGCCATTACACGTGAAAACCAAATTGTTTTTGCTTTCTTTTTTCATTTTTATTTAGTTACCGAAAATATTAAAAACATCAAATACGTCCAATCTTTAGTAAAGTCCGAAAAAACCAGACAGACAGGATTTTATAACCATATTAATTGTAACTACGCCGTGCAAGATTTTTAAATTAATTTATGCACCTCTCAAATACCTTTGAGACTTTTCTCGCTTGTGTCCATTAACTACCGCTCTCTTGGATATTTTTCTCGAGAAATTCAATAGTTACAAACTAAACTAAATATAAAGAGATAGAGTTTATCAAAACGGAAATAATTCAATTCGTTTAATTAATAAAGCGTTAAATGTAGTTATTAATTCTCAATTTCTCAGCGATTGATACAATTGTTTAAGGACAGTTAAACTATTTTTTTAAAAATATAGAACCTCGACCTTCAATTATAATTTATTAATTAAAATAAAAAAAATTGTAATAATTAAAACAAGCCTTTTTACGGAAATCTATCGTTTTAGCGTAATCAATTCGGCCGTATTGATGTTTGCTATTAAATACGATTGTCTTGTTTTTAAAATACACAGCATGCGTTTTTTTTTTTTTAATTCTGCCCTTTGAACAATTTAATTGACTGACAATAAACACCAGTTCTAGAATTATTAATGAGATGCAATTTTTATACATTAAGAAAGTTCCTATTTTATAGAGCTATAACTACATATATGTTTATTTAAATACGAGAAAAATGGCCCGTTGAGGAAGGATACACCGGGCGCTAGGTTGATAGTGCTGTCTCTTTTCTCTAAACTAAAACCAACCCACCCCCCACACACACCACCCCCCACCCACCCCCACCCACCCCCACCCCACCCCAAAAAAATCATGTCTACCGTCCCATTCAACGAAATATAATTATATACTTTTTCCAGTGTCCGCCCCCTTCCCGAAAATTCTACCCCCGCCCCCGAAAATTCCAAGTACCCCCACCCCTCTCCGGGGAGGAAAAAGTCTGAAAGAAACACTGGTGTCGCGCTTAGCCACTACCCGAAGAATTGCATTAAAGAAATTGCAAGAAAACCACTTTTTAGATTAGACACATTAATTAGGCGGTAATTTTATTATAGAGTATCGATGAAGAAATTTCTTTTGAGTTGGGGAGGGGGGGGGGGGGGCTCAGACGTTCTTACGCGTGGGGTGGGGCTTCGCCCCTACCCGAAGAATTGTATGCAAGAAACTCTTCACGCAAACCATTTAGATTAGACAACATTTCCTTTTTATTCAATGTTTACGCGATAATCAATGACGTCATTATATTACTGTGTGCACTTTCCGCCTTGAGATTATTTTCAACTCCATGCTAAATGTGTCGACGTCATACTTCGTTTTTCGAAATACTATGCATGTTTTTAATTTCCTTGTGTTTTCTCTAGAGCGTTCTTGTCAGATAGAATTTTTGCTTATGTTTTCTCTAGAGCGTTCTTGTCAGACAGAGCGTTCTTGTCAGATAGATAGATACATACACAGACAGCGAAACTATTATTATAGACGAGAAAAATGGCCCGTTGAGGAAGGATACACCGGGCGCTAGGTTGATAGTGCTGTCTCTTTTCTCTAAACTAAAACCAACCCATCCCCCACACACACCTACCCCCAACCCCCAACCCCACCCCCCACCCACCCCACCCCCACCCCCACCCCAGCCCAACCCACCCACCCCCACCCCCACCCACCCCAAAAAACATGTCTACCGTCCCATTCAACGAAATATAATTATATACTTTTTCCAGTGTCCGCCCCCCTCCCAGAAAATTCTACCCCCGCCCCCGAAAATTTCAATTACCCCCACCCCTCTCCGGGGAGGAAAAAGTCTGAAAGAAACACTGGTGTCGCGCTTAGCCACTACCCGAAGAATTGCATTAAAGAAATTGCAAGAAAACCACTTTTTAGATTAGACACATTAATTAGGCGGTAATTTTATTATAGAGTATCGATGAAGAAATTTCTTTTGAGTTGAGGAGGGGGGGGCTCAGACGTTCTTACGCGGGGGGTGGGGCTTCGCCCCTACCCGAAGAATTATATGCAAGAAACTCTTCACGAAAAAACCACTTTTTAGACAAAATTTCCTTTTTTTTCAATGTTTACGCGAGAATCAATGACGTCATATTACTGTGTGCACTCTCTGGTTTGAGATTATGTTCTACTCTATGCTAAATGTGT